GTGTGTATGTGTGTGTGTGTGTGTGTGTGTGTGTGTGTACATGTATGTTTCTATGGGGGAACCAGCACTTGGAACTTCCTAGTCCTACATCGTGCTGACATCACCAGGATTGATTTTTAAATTTCTATTATTATTATTATTTTTTTGGTACCAGGGATCGAACTCAGGTCCTTGCGCTTGCGAGACAGGCGTCAGAACCACTGAGGTAAATCCCCGGCCCTGATTTTTTTATTAATAAAAAAACCGGCCCTGTTGAGACAGGCTTCAGATTCACCAATGTTAGAGCGCACCATATGGCTGGATGTGGTGGCACATACTTGTAATCCCAGTACTCTAGAAGACTGAGGCAGAAGGATCACTAATTCAAGTCTACCCCAGGCAGCTTGACAATTTAGGGATTGTCAAGGGGCTGCCTCAAAATAAAAATACAAAAAGGGCTAGAGAGGTAGCTCAGTGCAAAGGCCCTGGGTGCAATCCCCTGTACCCCCACCAAAAGTGTAGAAGTGTAGAATGGATTTTAGATTATGTGCAACTACCACACAATTTTAGAACATTTTCATCACCTCTTAAAACCCCATGTCCTCCGTTACCATCCCCACTCCTGTTGCTCACCTCCCACCCTAACCCCAGCCTCTGACCCCATATGTTGGCCTATTCTGGACGTTGCGTGCAAATGGGATCATACGCTCTGACATCTTTTGTGACTGGCTTCTTTCACTTAGCGCAATTCCTGTCCCCCTCCTCCTGTGCCCCAGACTCTGAAGGGGGCATAAGACGTGGCAGAGAGAGGGGTAGGCAGCCCCTCGGACTGGTCCAGAACTGGAGTTGCAGCCACTGGCTGTGAAGTGAGGAGAGGCGGAAGGAGGAGAAGCTGTTGGCCAGTGAAGAGTAAAACAGTCTCACAGGACCTGGGCGGCAGATGGAAGCACAGTCGTCAGGATGGGAGAGGAGGCAAGGAACGTGGACAAGGAACCTGATAGCAGAAGGAGCTGAAAGATGGGCCACAGAGGGAGTCACAGGGGAGCAGGAGAGAAGAGAGATGGCGACCCAAGCCCTTGGCTGCTCCACAGTGCGATTTGAGGGACAAAGGAGTCTGTAATGGTGAAAGTGGGCCTGGGAGAGCGAGTGTGGAGAGGTGTGGGGGAGGCTGGAGACAAAATAAACCAGGCTGTCAGGGGCTGTGGGGCGGGCCAGGGTAACTGCTGACGCGAGCTGGACTTCTTTGGGATTGATAAAAGGATCTATAAATTATTATTTTTTTATTTTTATTTTGTGTTTTGAGACAGTCTCTTGCTATGTAGTTCAGGCTGGCCTTGAACTCCCTGTATACCCCAGGCTGGCCTCAAACTTGCCATGATCCTCCTGCTTCAGCCTTGCGAGTGCTGGATCACAGGTGTGCGCCACCACACCTGGCTGAAAGTGATCTGTAATTAAATAGCGGTGATGGGTGTACGGCTCTGTGGGTGGACCCACATTCTGAGTTGGGCCTGTGAAGAGTGCATTTTATGGGGTGTGAATTTCATCTCAATGTTTTATTAGGAATGAAAGGTGAAATCAACAAGGGGGAACTGATCTGCTACAGTTCAGGGATTCCTGAGGGCACTGGGAAAGGTGCAGGAGGAAAAGAGGTGGTACACCTGAGCCTGGGGAGAGAGAGGGGCGAGGCTGGGCAGGAGTAGGTGGGGATTAGAAGAAGGAGGGCCGCAGGGATGAGGTGGGGCTCCGGAGCTCCAGGTGCACCAACCCAGCAGACCCCAGTGGCTGGAGGGGCCGGGTCTTCTCAGGAAGTTACCAGGCGTGGCCTGGGTAATGGTCTGGAGGTGGCCCTAGATCAGTGACTGAAGGAGGAGACCGGGGCTTCAGGCACTGAAGGATGCAGCCGTGGGAGCTTCCGGGGTGAGACAACAGAACACACAAAGCTCAGCTGTGGGAAGGGAGAGTTGTCAGATCCCAGGTTTGAACATGGCCCCCAGATCTCGGATCTCAACTTGGAAGCCATGTCCTGTGAGTCCTCAAGAGAAAGATCAGGTTTGAAAAAACCAAGCACTGCTGCTTTCTGCCAGATGCCTCTACGAGAAAACAAGCCAGGGAAGGTTAAATAAATAAGCCAAAGGGATCCAGGGCTGGGGGCCAAGGTGAGTGATTAGCTTCGTGTTGATGTTTATGGAGAGCTGTGAGCTGTTAGGTGAAAGTAAGGACTATCAGAAAGGCAAATAACAAGTTGGTCATGCATTTAAATGTGTTTTCTTCAGCATCTGTATACTCCAGGTAGGGAGCTCAAAATGCAGGATGCACACTCTAGAACTTACAGGCCGTGGCGTGTGCTGGGGTGGGAATGGGGCAGCTGCTACTGAAAAAACTACAAAATAATCCATTACAACATAAGAATAATAGGGAGATGTGTCAGGTGATCTGATTGTGTCTGACATGAATCTGGTCAAGGGTCAAGGCAAGTTCTGCAGGGGAAGTGACACTCCAGCTACCCAGTAGAGGGGCTGGCAGTGAGCCAGGCCCTAGCAAGGCTCTGGTGCAAGGCAGAGCTTAGGTGACCATGTAGAGTTAATGTGTGAGAGGTGGGGGTTGGCAGACACAGCCAGAGAGGCCGGAAGAGCCAGATCAGGCAGGGCATTGTAGGCCACATGGAGGATTCTGGGCTTTATGCCAAGAGCAAAGGGATATAAGTGGGAAAACAAGAGGGCGGCAGCAGGGGGCAGTGGAGCAGAGAGGTTACAAGTATGGACCCTAGGGCCAGACTGCCTGGGTTCAAATCCCAGGTCTGCCACTGCTAGCAGTGTGACCGAGGTGAGGTTAGCTAAACCCTCTATGCCTCAGTTTCCTCTCTGGAACATGGGGTGGTAACGTACACTACCTGCTTTATAGTGTTGGCGTGAGGATGGAGTGGTCAAAGTGCCTGGCACGCAGATGACGAGGAATCACTGGGGTGAGTGGGCTTGACAGCAGTCACCCTGCCCTATGGATTCTCCCCTAAATGGGCTAAGAGCTGTTGGCACCCAGGAAAGTTCTGGCTTCTGCAGTGGCTGCCATTTTGAAGACAAGAGTCTTCTGGCCTTGGGCAGCCATTTTGGTAGCATTATTTCCTGGCTATGGCTGTCTTGTGACTTTGTGAGGACAAGGACAGTGCTCAACCCATGGCCCCGGGGTCAGCACGTGACCTGAGTGAATGGAGGGGTGGGTAGACATGCTAGCAGATGATGGTCCCATGGGGCCTCTTTCCCGGTCCTTGGTGTCCCAAACAAAGACCTGAACAAGACACACAGAAAGGGCAGCAAGGGTGCATATTTATCGAGGGTGGGAAAGAGGTACACTCTACAGGGCAGGGGCAGGCCGTGAATGGGCTTACAGTGGCCCTGAGGGTAAAGCCACAGGGGTCTTCAGTATTCAAAATACCTATATTGAACTTCCCCTCATGCAAATAAGGTATTAGAACATTTCTCCTATCAAAAACTCACTTTTTCTCACATCACATGTAAACTGTCACATCGAAAAATTCGCTTAGCCTCTCACCGGATGTAAATGAAGGACCAGAAGCAGTGTCTTTTGATTGGTTGCGTCCATATGTAAATGAAAGATTGAGAATAGGATCTTCTGATTGGTCCTGCAAACAATGCCAGATTCAAATGAAAGACTGAAAATAGCACTTTTCTAATTGGCTCACAGTGCTCAGGAGCCATAAGCCTGACTCGTTTTGGGTCTTGTGTTCTGCGCAAGTTCTTTCATTTTAGGAAACATCTCACTCAACATGTTAGCCATGGCTTTTTACGACCTTCGACACACTGTGACCAGTTGGCTGTCCAGTTTGCCCTAGCCCTACTCTCTTACCTCAGTGCTGCCTATGGAATACAGATGGTACTTGGACTACTCATAAATTCCTGAGCATCATTACATGCTGGGCACCTCCCTCCGTGTGACACAATTCATGTCATTTGCCCATTGATAGTGACAAGAGGCTACTATTAGATGCTTTCTGCTCAGGGAGATCTTGGAAGGAAGTTGGGGGGGACGGCGGGGTGGGGGTCATACTTCAGGGAGCTGAGTGATTCAGAAATGTGTTTAACTTGAAGCCTAAAAAGGAAAGCTTTTTGCTAAACGTTGGGATCCTAGAAGCAGGAATTGTACCAGGAAGCAGGAAATAGTTGCTCTCCTGGTGATATTATTGTCCTTAGCAAGGCCCAGGGATATCCAGGGTCATTTTACTTGTTTTTGAAAGGGGACAGAGGTGTATCTTGGGGAGGACCTGGGAAGTGGCTTCTCCAGAGTCTGGGAGTCCGCACTGCTCCCCCCTGAGAAGAGGGTGAGGTGTCCCCAGAAAATGCAGGCATGGCCCAGCCCAGCCCCACAGGCCTCCCTCTCCAGAAGCTGATTTTGGGAGAGCGCTGAGCTCAGCACACCTGCAAGGTGCAACCCGTCACACCCTCTGTCCCTGTACCCTGTGTCCCCAGCTGGCCTTTCCAAGCTGCCTCAGGCGGGCAGTCCGCCCTCTCCTATGCTGATCTGTTCGACCACATCCACCTTCGGACAGCCCAGCGCTGTGGAGACATGTGGCCTTGGAGGACCTGGGGGCGGGAGAGGCAGAGATCCCAAGGGTACAGCCCAGCCAAAGCTGCAGTCCTCACCCTGCGCTGGGCCTGGGATCCCCAGCCCCTAGGTTTGCAAAGCTGCACTTCGGGCTTCTGTAAGCACATCTTCCCAGCAGGCTTCTGCCCAGGCAGCTGGGACAGGAGTGGCAACAAAGCTCTGCCACACCAGGGCTGCAAACAGAGTCTGGCTTGGAGAAGGCTCAGGATCTCCTGAGGGACACGTGTTGGGTGGCAGATTAGCTGGTGAAGCCCAGACAGCTGGCTGCGGTCCTCCCTGCACTTCCCGAAGCTCTGTTCTGCCAGGCGGCCCTAGGATGGGGCCAGCCCTGGGAAGGGCCCTGCAGAAGGCCGTGCTGCTGGAGTGGCTCCTTCCTTGGGTTCCAGGTGCCCCGAGACTGGATGATGCAGCTGGTTGTCACAGCCTTGTGGCTGGGTCTCCTTATGGTGGCCACTGGAGATGAGGAAGATGAGTGTGTCGACGAGCCCCTGCCCGATGAAGATGCCACGCTATGCAAGTGAGGTGGCAGCTGTGTCGGGGGCACTGCCACCGGGCCGACCGTGTAGGACAGGCTGAGAACTCTGCAACAGGCTCCATCCTGCCTTCCTCAGACTACAGGGGCTCCCCCTCCCCCCGCCCTTCCTGCTGGGGCCCAGAGAGAGCCCTCATCCCCCAACCTGCTGCCTGTTAGAAGAGCAACTTTCTCCAGACTCCTGTGTCATCCTCCGGGCTCCCTAGGCTACTTTGAGTTCGTACCCTCTGCAGTTTGGTGGCTAAGGAAGGCACTGTCCATTGAGCCCATCTCAGAAATGGGAGAGGGGGGAGAAAGAACTTTCACTTCCTAGTTGGGCATAATCCCAGCACTCAAGAGGCCGAGGCAGGAGGATCAGCCTGAGTTCTAGGCCAGCCTGAACTACATAGTGAGGCCCTGTCTCAAAAAAACAACAACAACAAAGAACTTTAACTTTTTACTCTATCTTCTTCCTGCACATTTGAATCTTCACAAACATTTAGAATAAAAAAATATCTTCTCTGTAAAAGTTATGTAGTTGAGGGCCGGGGATTTAGCTCAGTGGTTCCACCTCCGCCTGGAAAGCACAAGGACCTGAGTTCGATCCCCGGTACCAAAAAAAAAAAAAAAAAAACTTAAAAGTTATGTAGTTGAATCCTAGAAAAAATAGTAATACACATTTTGCTTATATTAGTACATTTTTTAATGTGTGTGGTCCTGGAGATCGAGCCCAGGGCTTTTGCATTGAGCTATATCCCCAGACATTTTTAATTTTTATTTTGAGAAAGGGTCTCACTAAGTTGCCCAGGCTTGGCTTGAACTTGCAGTCCTTGTAATGAATCATCTTAACTAAATTAATGCTAAAGAGACTCTGGGTCTTGGGGTGTAAAATATCAGAAGGGCAGACTTAAAAAATTGGCACAAAACATTTTTAATATATCTATTCAAAAGTCTGGCTTATATTTCTGAGTTTCAAAAATAGGTGGGTACAAAATCAACACAAAAATCAATAGCGTTCTTGTACACCAATAATTAACTCACTGAGAAAGAAATTAGAAAAACAATGCCATTCATAGTAATAGTAAAAAAAAAACCCAAAAAAACTTAGGAACTAATGTGACCAAGAAAGTGAAAACCTCTACAAAAAACCTCAGGACTCTGAAAAAGGAGATCAAAGGGGACATTAGAAAATGGAAAGATACAGTCAAAATGGCCATGCTTCCAAAACTGGTATATAGTTTTAATGCAATCCCAATCAAAATACTTACAGAACATTTTCCACAGATCTAGAAAAAACAATCCTAAAATTCACATGGAATCAGAAGAGACCCAAGATAGCAAAAGCAATTCTGGGTAACAAGAACAAAGCAGGAGGCATCACAATGCTGGATTTCAAGTTGTATCACAAAGCCACAGCAATAAAAGCAGCATGGAGCTGGCACACAAACAGATGCATGCATCAGTGGAACAGAAGAGAGGATGAAGAAATGACCCCAGTGGCATTCAGCTCTCTGATCTTTGACAAAAGGGCCAACAACTTGTGCTGGGGGAAAGACAGCCTTTTAAACAAATGGTTTTGAGAAAGCTGGCTATCTACATGCAGATGATTAAATCTAGAGCCATATATCTTACCTACTACTAAACTAAAAATGGATCAAAGATCTAAATGTTATGACAGAGACTCTTAATCTGCTGAAAGATAAAATAGGTAAAACTCTTGAAGAAATAGGGGTAGGCAAGGACTTCCTGAACAGAACCCCTGTTGAACAAGAAATAACATTAGGGATCAACAAGTGCGATCACATCACATTAAAAAGCTTCTGCACAGCAAAAAATAAAACAACCAACAGAGTGAAGAGACAGCCTACAGAGGGGAAGAATTGTTTTGCACCTACACCTCAGAGGACTAATATCTAGAATATATAAATAACTAAAAAAAAAATAGATCCCCCAATCAAAAAATTGGCAACTTAAATGAACAGACACTTCTCAGAAGAAGTACAAATGGTCAATAAATTCATGAAAAAATGTTCGATATCCCTGGTTATCAGAGGAATGCAAATTAAACAACATCAAGATTTCATCTTACTCCAGAAAGAATGGCTGTCATCAAGAAATCAAGTAATAACAAGTGCTGGCAAAGCTGCTGGGAAAAAGGAACCCTTCTACATTGTTGGTGGGAATGGAAACTAATACAGCCACTGTAGAAAGCAATACGGAGATTCCTCAGAAAACTGAAAATAGAAGTTCCATTTGACCTAACTATTTCCCTTCTAGGTAGCTTCCCCAAGGACTTAAAGGCATCATATTACAGCGATACATGTATACTCACCTTTAGAGCAGCACAACTCATAATAGCCAAATCTTGGAAATAGGCTATATGTTTATTAACAGATGAATGGATGAACAAAGTGTGCTATTTATACACAATTTGAGTCATTTATAGGGAAATGAATACACCTTGAGACCATAATGTCAAGTGAAATAAATCACACACAAGCTTAGATATGGCGTAGTTTCTCTAATATGAGAAACCCAAACTATACATAATTTAAAGAGCAAAATAGAAGATAATAGAAAACAGGGGGATAGATCTCTTGCAAAAAGGAAGGTGACCCAGAGATGGACAGAGAGGAAAAGGAGAGGAGGGGAAGGGATGAAAAAAGAATTATGATCCGCTATGTATGTGGACCAACTCCCTGCGAGGAATGTAATCATGATATACCGCAAACATGGACTAATAAAAATTAAAATGAAAATGAAAAACCTCGGTGAGCCCATAGATGACTGACTGTCCTGAGCCGTAGCCACTGTCCCTTTGTTCCGCATCAATTTCTTTCCATCCGGGAAACCAGATTCTCAGAACACAGGAGCTCTTCAGCTCCTCTTCTCAGGGGAACACAGGTCTAAGGGGCTCGGACCGCAGTCCTCACTCTAGGTGCTTTACCCAGGGGGATATTTGCACGTTTAACATGAGCCTAGGTATGGGGTTTGCTTAACTCAAATCCCACCATTGATGGGATTTCAGGCACAGGGAGCTCTTGATAATTTAGGAGATAGAAAATTTCTCTGTCCATGGAGGAGGTCGTGCTGACTTTCTAAACATTTCTCTTCTGTAATTAGAATGTTCCTAATGAGCAACATATAAATATTGTCCTATTTTAAAGATACCAACCAAGGTGTTTTGCACGTATGTGTGCCTGTATGTGCATGTGTGAGTGCATATGTGTGTGTGTGCATTTTTCTGTTTGTTTCTTGAGACAGGTTTCACTACGTATTCCACACTAGCCACCAACTCACTATGTAGCCTGGGCTGGCCTCAAATTCATGATGCTCCTGCCTCAGCCTCCCGAGTGCTAGGATTACAGGGGGGCACCATCATGCCCCAGCAGACACTGACCAAGTTTGCTAAGGATGTCTGGCCGCCTTCCCACACCCGGTCTGAGGGTTTCTCATTCATGGATTCAACCAACCATAGGTCAAAGTCAAACCAGAAACTACCTCTGTACTGGACATGTACGGACATTTTTTCTTCTCATTATTCCCTAAATTATACAGCATGACAACCATTGGATAGCAGGGACGTTGTACTAGGTAACATAAATGAGCTAGCGGGGCCAGGAATTTAGCTCAGTAGTTTTGCTGCCTGCTGCACAAGCACAAGGACCCGAGTTTGAGCCCTGGTACCAAAAAAATAAAATAAATAAATAAATGAGCTAGCGATGATTTAAAGGATACAGAGGACTGTGTAAGTTTACATGCAAGAACCATACCAGTTTATACGATGGACTTGAGCACTAGGGGAGCTCAGTGTCAATGAGAAATCCCCAGCAGATTCCCAGGAGTGGCTGGACATTCTTCTTGGAAACACAAGTGACAGTTAGCACTTTTTTTTAAAACCTAAACTCTTTCCAGGACCTTACTGCTTAGCAACCCTATCAGAGAGCCACTAGCCATGACCCCGTTACATAGGTGAGGAGATCGAGACACGAAGATGGCAAGTGACTCTCATGAGTCAGCAGCAGGTTTAGGGCATAGTCTCATTGTCTTTACATTCCCACTAGTGCTAGACTGGAGCACCGGAGTCCCCTGGAGCTCTGGCGTGAGGCTGACTGCTTCCTTCTCTCAGTAGGGGCCTTGAAGTTTTGTACCCTGAGTTGGGGAACATCGGCTGCATGTTCATTCCCGACTGCAATGACTACAGACAGAAGATCACCCTCTGGAGCAAACCCATAGTCAAGTTCTCTGGCGCCTTTGACGTGAGTGGGCTCGGATGGTGGAAGGGGCACTGGGGGGTCCTGACTTCCCTCTGAGCTCCTCCTCTGGGGGGCCTGGGCCATGCGCATAGTATGGGGGTGGGTCTGCTGGTACCGGATGGATGTGCCCTCCTTAGAGCGGCCCCACAGCCTGGGACTGAAGGGGGGGGGGATTTGAGATTGCAGAGAAGAGTAAGAGCAGTGCATGTGACATTTGCTCCTTGTGGCAGGAGACACGTTCTCCTTATGCCCCAAATCATCCCAAATCGTCCAAAATAGGTCAAAGTGGAATCAGAAGTATAGTCATAGCCCCGTACTCTGCCGCTTTGAAACTGGTCAAATTGGTACTTGACACATTTTGATGCAAATCTTGTCCCAATATTTATTTGTTTGCTACTAGCCGCACAAGCTAGGAGTTGTCAGTGTCAGCTGCCTTTCTGGCCAAAACAATTGGTTTGATACTTGCATTTTGGGCACTCACAGCGCCTCCCAGAACCAATTAGTGACAAGAACCAGGGTGTCACTGTAACTGTCTCTTTCCTTGAGAAGCGGCCAGCCCTACCTGTTCTGGGATCTTCCTGGGCTTGGAGATCTGGGAAGCCTGGGGATGGGCTGTAGAGGTGAGAAATAGGAAGCTAAACCTCATCGCAGGGAGCTGCCTCTGGTTGCCATCTTTCCCCACTCCCGGGCCAGACTGAGCCCGCAGAGCTCCATGTTCAAGGCCGACCTCTCGCTCTCAGTTGTGTTTGGGCTGGAAGTGAAATGTCACCGAGGAACAAGGACTGAGGTGTGACCAGGACTCAGGTCACAAATGGGCAGAGACAGAAGGGTAGTAGTGGGGTCGCAGCTTCCGGTCCCTTCTGCAGTGTGGCAGAGAGGCCACAGGGGCTCCCCCCTCCCTTGTTCTGTGGGTCCCCTGTGCTCCACTGGCCAAGCCAGAGGGCCGGCTGCACACAGGCCAGCAAGGCCGCAGCCAGGAAACAGGATCGGCACCACGTGGGTTACTCAGTCTACTGGGTCCGTCTGTGTCTTCCTCCAAGTGACTGTACGATTGGAGGGCAAATGGATTGTGAAATGTCTTGATATCTGTGTGGCCCCTGTCATGCAGCTTTGACATGCTGTCCTGTTTGCAACTGTGATGAGCACCCTTTCCTCTGGGAGGCTGAGATCAAGCAACACTCATGCATGCACACGCACATGCCCACACACATACACGTACACATGTGTGCACGTGCCACATATGCAATCTCCCCTCCCACCCCTGGCAGCTACAAGGAGCAAAGAAAGCCGCTGTGATTTCTGCCCTGAGGTGGAGGGTCACAGTGGCAGGGCAGGAACCCAGGCCCTCAGGGAGCAGTGTATGCGCCCCATGGGACAGGCTCTTTCTTGACCTCTCCATTAATTCACTTTCCCTTGGAGTTTCACTTGCAGAGTGAGGAGGCCCAGCCAAATGTTTTCCAGTGCTTGTCCCGTCACCCTGGCCTGCTGTTGCTTCAGATGTCCACTAGATGGCAGTGAAGGCTTTTCTAGCTCCTGGAGTCCCTCCTGGAAGAGAGAGTCAGCCAGTTCTGAGTGTTGGTTTTGACTGGGCTTAGCTGACACTACTGGGCGGCTGGACAGGGACACCAAACAGAGAGGAGATACCATGCCAGGTGTGCTGGCGCACTCCTGTAATTCCAGCTCCTCGGGAGGCTGAGGCAGGAGGATTGCAATTGCAAAGCCACCCTGGACAAGTTAGGGAGACTGTGTCTCAAAATAAAAAAATTAAAAGGGCTGGGAGAAAATAAGGAAGAGGAAGCTATTGCTCTGGGTCTTGAAATCTCCCACTGTACAGAAATATAACAGGGCCGCCTACTTTATGCCGGGTGGTATCCGTGTCATCATTTCACTTAATTCTCATCAAGTTGGCAACTCAAGGGTGTCAAGAGAGGAAAAAAAGCCAACTCTAACTGGCATAAGCCAAAAAAGGGGAGAATTTATTGTTTCAGGGATAACTTCAGGTCTGGCTGGATCCAGGATTTCAAACAATGTCACCAGATCACAAATCTATCCCTTTACTCTGCTTTTCTCTCTGCTGTTTCTCTTTATAAAAAGACTTTCCTTGTGGTGCCAAAGTTGGATTTATGTCTGACTGGTTCAACAACCCCAGCAGAGAAAGATGGACCCTTTCCAACCATTAAAAGTCCTAGGTTTGCCCTCCTGGGATCAATGCCCATTTTCAAACCAAACAGCGGCCCTGGGTAGCCCACTTGGTGGCCAAGGACAGAGAGCAGCAGGGAATGAGTCCCCAGAGGAGCAGCAGGGGTCATTTACAGGAAGAGGGGTCGGGCAGGGAACCTGTGCGGTTACTGTGAAATGTGGCCTGTACAGAGCGGGAAACGGGCCAATCTGGGTCCCAACCCTCCCATGGGCTTGACCAGTGGCCTCCCAGCCAGGGCTCCAAGGGAGACCTTGGGGTGGATGCTGGCACAGTTCGAGGGGACTTCATGAAGGGACGCTTTCCCTAGTTGTGCAGGAAGGACGCTCATGGCGAAGGAGGGGGTGGCTGGAGCTTCCTGTGAGGGCCCAAGGGACCAATCACCTGCAGGGAGTGTGGCTGGCCAAGTGGGAGCAGAAGCAGGTGCATCTGGGACCCAGGTCCCTCCGGAAAGGGGCGGGTGGGTGGGGAAGCACCTGAGCAATCGGCAGAGGAGGGCGAATGACCACCTCGGGTCTTCCCGCCTCCACACCTTCTGGCAGGCTGCTTCCCCACCTTTGGGTCTCACTGGCCTCCAAGTTCTTCCTCCTCCACGAAGTCTTTCCTGACTGGCTCCCTCTGGGGTTCCCTCCCATCCCTGGCTGACTGCTTCTTGCTGTCCCCTGCCCTGGAAAGGGTATGTTTACTTCCGGCCGTCTGGTACTGCGCTTGCTCTGTCGAAACTCGCTCTGTAAGCACCGGGAGACAGGAGCCCGGAGCCATCCCGAGTCACCCACAGCCCCGCCAGCACTGCAGTCTGTGCTGGTGGCCGGGTGAGTGGGTGAGTGGGTGAGGGAATGAACGGCAGCTGCAAGGACACTTCCGGGAGTGTAAGCCACAGGCTGTGCAAGCCCCAGGTTACCTTCAAACTTAGGGGAGTCCTGGCACCTGAGGAAAAGCTGCTGAGCCCTGCGGTCCCAGGCAGTGGTTCTCTGTCCTCCACCCAGGGTGGGTGGGTCTGGGGCAGATGGAGAAGCAGGGGGGGAGAGGAAGGAGACCCAGGGTTCACAGAGAGCAAAGCCAGGCAGGAAATGGGTGGCGAGGGCTGAGTCACGTTGAAGTAAGTGGCCCTCTCCTCCCCTGGCCCCGTCTGCACCATCTGGCCACCAGCATCTCTGAGCACACCCCGTCCTCATCCTCGGGCCAATGAGGGCTGAAAGGGCTCTGAAAAGCATCTTGCCGGGGTTTTTCTTCCCCTGGAGTTCAGCCAGCTGGCATCCTTTGGAAGAGCAGAAATGGCCTTGAAGTGGTGGACAATGTGCACTGCATTTGGGGAAAGAACAAAAGCCGGGCTCCGTCCTGCTGTCCCTCAGCCTCCAGAAAGCAGGTGAACCTGTCCCGCACCGTCCTCAGGGCAAGCGCCCCCTCACCGGCAACAGTGCCCGGAGCTGCCTGATAGAGGCCACCGCCTTGCCCTCATTGGCCCGTGGCGGTGACACAAATTTCAACACGGATGTCACAGAGGCCGGAGATGCTAACCCAGGGCAGGACCTGGGATGCTGCCCGGCCCAGAGCAATGAGCTCTGAGGGACACGGCCTCTGCTGCCCAAGGTCTCCATGTGGGAGGAGCCCTGGCGGCCAGAGCAGGCCTGGGGCGGGAGGCACATGACTACCTGGTGTCAGGGACACGAAGTGACTCGCTTAGCAAACAGTGGCCGGCACCACCCCAGCACTGCTGATGAAAAGAGCTCCCAGGATAGGTGGAGGGAGACAGGTCTCATCAAGCGGGCACCCAGCCAAGGTCAGGGAAGCCCGGTGACTGGCTGGGGGAAGAGGCTTGGGAGGCTTGGGAGGGGCCAGGGCCTTGCTGAGGGAACCAGAAAGCTGGGTGAGCCCCAAAGGGGAGTCTGAATTTCACCTCAAAGCCAGGCTAGGGAAGAAAGGGGGTCACCATGGGATTCTTTCATTGTTGTTTTGAGCAAAGTTCTCACTATGTAGTTCAGGCTGGCCTTGAACTCGAAGCAACCCTCCTGCCTCAGCCTTCTGCGTGCTGGGATCACAGGTGTGTGGCATCAGGATTCCCTAGACAGTGACAGGCTCAGATTTGGAGTCCCAGCAGCAGGTGGGAGCAGGGACAGAGGGGAGACAAGGTCAGGACTCTGCGGGTGGGGAAGAGATGTCAAGGGGGTGGGATCCATGGGGCCGTGGCTGTGGGGCACTGGAAGCTGCATGTGCATGTGACCCTCAGGTTTCTGTGAGGGGCTCAGGTGGGTGAGGGTGGAGCGGAGCACTGAGCTGCTCTCTCAAACAGGGTGTCCCAGGGGAGTGGAGGGCAGCGTGGGCCACGGTTATATCATAGCCAGGGTGTCGCTGGGCACAGTCCCAGCGGCTGCAGTGCACCTAGACCCTAAGAATGGTGTGTCCCCAAGCAGAGGGACACAAGGGAAACACTAGGTTTACAGGGCCAGCAGCAGCGACTTTTTTTCCCCAGTACTGGGAGATGGAACCCAGGGTCTTTGCACTGAGCTACGTCCCCAATCCTTTTGTTATTTTTGATTTTGAGACAGGGTCTCACCAAGTCACTCAGTTGCCCAGGCTGGGCTTGAATTTGCCATCCTCCTGTTTCAGCCTCCCAAGTGCTGGAGTACAGGTGTGCACTGTCACAGCAGCACAGCAGCAGCGACTGCCACGTGCACCTAATCTGAGGGTGCTGCCTGCACCCAGAGGCAGCTGCCTGACAGCAGGACTGGCTGATGCCACTAGAGAAGGCGAGGCCAGAGGCCTGGGTTTGGGTCCTTGTGCCCAGGCAGGGTGGCATCCACAAGGC